AGCCATTGTAAGGAAGCAGCATGATCTAATGACTATTAGAGCAAAGGGCTGGAAGGGAGAAGTATCATGTTTTGTTTATGGCTATTTTCCTTCTGTCTTTTGCAGGAGTCCTTGTTCCCCGCTCGGGTTATCTACGACCTCCTCTTCTTCTTCATTGTCATCATCATTGTCCTCAACCTTATCTTTGGTGTCATCATAGACACCTTTGCTGATCTGAGGAGTGAGAAGCAAAAGAAGGAAGAAATTCTTAAGACCACGTGTTTCATATGTGGTGAGTTCCAGGGCAAAAAACATCACACAAACACATGTGCTCCCCAACCAAGATCCTCATAGGATCAAGCCCTTAACTTGTGTATTCCAGTAGCAGCTGTTTATTTTAAGAGTGCGAAGAGGGGAAAAATGGGAGTTGTCCTTTTTGTGCTTCTTTATTATGTGTAAAGAAGACTTGATTTATTTTTTCACATTTGTTTGTGTTAGAAATTGGGTTCTTGTCTATCCTAGAAGACTCCATGGATCACTGAAGAACTAGCAGCTTAGATAAAAGAAATGAACCGCATTAGTTGAGAGAGGAAATAATTTTTGTAATTCAAACTGTTGCTTTTTGTTAAATAAGCATTAACTAAAACACCCTGGAGTAATGTGTTCTTTGCGAAGGGTTTGTCACTCCTCCAAACCCTTAAATTCTGGGCTGAGAAAGCTCTGTCCTCATCTGAGTAACCCAAGAAGTCCTCCCAGACAAAGGGGAGAGGGAGAAAACAGAATTGACTTTCCTGATCTTACTAAGAAAAAAGATGCAGGGAAAAAACCTTCTCAGGCCACCTTTGTGCATCAAAAAGCAAAACAAAAAACGGAAGCAAGTATTCCCCTTATTTTGGGGGGCACGGGAATCAAAATGTAAATAATAATAATAAAAAAAGCACAGCACAAACCTAATTTTTCCTACTTTGCAGATCATGTTTAAGAGAGACCCACTGTGTGGTTTTTATGCTAGAAGTTTAGATTTGGTTTACAGGAAATGTATTTAGTAGCACTTTAAATAGAAGTGTTCGAAATACACAGCTAGGTAATTTGTCTAATATAAGCTGGGATGCTTATTGTATGTTAAACACCACCTAATTATTAAAAGCGCCCTTTGCAATTCACACCTGGGATAGGATGCAATTATCTGTTATTCCTTTTACCCTTTCTTTTTTTTTTTTTCAATTCCTCTTTTCTCCACTGCCTCTCCCAGGTCTCGAAAGGGACAAGTTTGATAATAAGACTGTGTCCTTCGAAGAGCACATTAAATATGAGCACAACATGTGGAACTACTTGTACTTCATCGTGCTGGTGCGAGTGAAGAATAAGACTGACTACACAGGGCCTGAGAGTTACGTGGCACAAATGATTAAGGTGAGTGTTGCCTAAGACCGGGCCTCACACACAGTGGCGGCGTGTCTCCCCCAAGGAAAACATTTTTTTACAAAGGACTTGTTGAGAAAACTTACTTGTTTGCAAAAGAACACTTCCATTTTTTTTTAATTTTGTAAAAGCCTCTCACTTCTTCCTTGTATGATTATTTCCAATTTGGGCCCAGCAAACCAGGCGTCATTTGTTGGGTATTCTATATTCAACTACTGGATATTCAAAGAAGTCAGGACTTAATGAAAAGCAGAACTGGGAGCAACCTAGTTATTGTGAACTCAAGGCAGTGACAAAGGTTGGGGGAGGAGGGCAGGAAGGTATAGGAAAACCTTTGAATGTCCTACAGTCAAACTTAGGGGATTGCTTTGTGTCTGGAAGTCTACAAAAAAAAAAATTGGGAAAATTAATGGGCTATTAATGAGAATCCTTAAAGGTACTGGGGAGCCCAGGCTCTTCAATATTTCTACTAGACCCTTAGCACAGTCAGGGTTTATAGGGCCAATTACCCAGTTCATGTGAATTAGCACTTATGCTCAAATCAAGCTCCCCCATCATTTCAGAACAAGAACCTGGACTGGTTCCCACGGATGCGAGCCATGTCGTTGGTCAGCAACGAAGGGGAAGGGGAACAGAACGAGATCCGGAGCCTTCAAGACAAGCTCAACTCCACTATGAAGCTGGTGTCTCACCTCACTTCACAGCTGAATGAGCTGAAAGAGCAGGTATTATAGTTTAAACAGGGATGCTTCAGAATGGGGATGGCTTAATGGTAGAGCACAAATCCCAAGCAGTAGAGCAGGATCCACAGTAACTGAAACATGTTTCTAGGGTAGCATGCAAAGATGGCCTGAGTCAGAATCAATGGATGCAGCCTCAGGCAGACCTTCCATAATCGGCACAGCTGGGGAGGGGAAAGAAAAGGTTTTAGCAGCTCATTGGGTCGGGGGCACTTGGCCCAAGAGTTTCCTTTAATAGCTAAGTTCCTCACCAGCTGCATGAGGACACAGCTAGGCTCCCCCTCTGTCAGGAAAACGACATCCTAAAGCACAACTCTCTCGCCTTGGTTCTCTCATCGACATATTCCCAAAAGAACATCCATACTGGCTCAGACCTATGGTTCCATCTAGCCCAGTATCCTGTCTCCGACAGTGGCCAGTTCCAGATGCTTCTGACGGACCAAACAGAACAGGGCAATTTTGAGTGATCCATCCGGTCAGCCAGCCCCAGCTTCTAGCAGTCAGAGGTTTAGGGGCACCCAAAGCATGAGGTTTCTAATAGCCAATAATGGACCTATCCTCCATGAACTTGGCTAATTATTTTTAACCCAGTTATACCTTTGGCCTTCACAACATCCCTGATAACGAATTCCACAGGTTGACTGTGGATTGCATGAAGAAGTACTTTCTTATGTTTGTTTTAAACCTGCTGCCTGTTAATTTCAGTGGGTGACCCCGGCTTCTTGTGTTACGTGACGGGTTAAATAACACTCTTATATACTTTCGCCACATCATTCATGATTTTATAGACCGTAGTCGTCTCTTTTCTAAGATGAACATCCTAGTCTTTTTAATCTCTCCTCATATGGAGGCTGTTCCACACCCTAGGATGCAGTCCAGAGTAGGGCTTTCTTTGGCACCTGCTTAGCAGCATCCCTGGAAGTTGAAAGCCCTTGGCAGGTGTATGTTTGACCCCAGCCTAAGGCATGGGCCTCTTAGCGTGGATAAAGTGGGAAAAGGAACAAGACCAGTGTCCCTGACTACATTGTGTCCTTATTTTAACTCTAGATGACAGAGCAAAGGAAGCGCAGACAGCGGATCGGGTTTGTGGATGCCCAGAACACCTTGAATCACTGAAGCACACAAAAAGCATCAGCTTCACCAACCGACTAAATACATGTTATCAGCTAACAAGGATGTATTCACTGGAGTCTGCGCATAGATCACATCTTCAGAAGCTGAACCAAAGCCTAGAAGGTTACAGCTGTAAGGTTTCAACACCAGCCTTTTCCTTCTCCATTACATCTCTGCAAACATTTTGCCCAGCAAGACAGGAACCACTAACTTACCAGATTTCCTCACTGTATCTGGACCCATAATTTATCCTAATGCCCTCAAAGGAAGGTAAATTATTTGGGACTTTGGTTCCTCATTGCAATAACTTTTTATTCTGTAACGTGAATTATCTTTCTTTATCTCCAGGCACTACATTTTGGTGGCTACCCTGCTCCAGAGAGGATAGCATTAATATTGTTACTAGCAATTAGAGAGTTGCAATATTTAACTTATTCCAAGTAGTCAGTGGAAAGTCCATAGTAGATGTGGAACTTTGCAACCCAGACATCTTGTTCACTATACCTCGCAACGCTGATTTTCCTCCATTTTAAGAATCGCATCTATTGCTGGGGTGCAGTAAACTCAACGAGATTTATTGATAGTACAACGCATCTGATGAGGATGAGTAACAGCAAAGCTGTTGCTAGCATGACAGTCTTATCTTCTGTGGACAGACTTTATTTGGGCAGTAGTGGGAAATTGCAGGTTTACAGCAGTTCACTGTGAAGAGGTATTCTGTGTTTATTTTCATCTCTAATGTGATGTTTTACAAACTTTTTATTTTGTTGTTACTTAACTAATATGTAAATTGCCTTAACTAAGTTAACACAAAATCAAGTCATAGTAAAAGCTGAAATGAGGTCAAAAAACCTCTTCTCAACACTCTGAGAGCTGTTATGCATTAATCATATTTATAATACAGTAGCATCCAGAAGTCTCGATTCTGTTTAGGGCCATATTAGGCAGGGTGCTGTGTGAATACAGGTCCCCAGCCCAGAGGAAACTCGGTTCAGAGAATGGTGATGGGTGCTATACACAAACAAAGATCTCTTATTGCAGAGCTACCATAAACACCACAGCTTGTCTGCTGAAGTTTTAGACTAGATCCCACTGCAGGTTTCAAATGGTTTCAGTTCTTGCCAGGGGAAAACTGTTCAAATGCCTAACAGCAAGAGGCCATTACTTCTTCCCCGAGCCAGGCATAGTGCAGGTACACATTTTAGATATACATTGCTGCACCCCCATAGAGCACTGCATCAACACAGAGCAGTTCTCTGCCTCCCAGGAACAGACACTGATGCCGCTACTGAAGTATGCAGTAGCTTTTAAGGAGGATTGCAAATAGGCCACAGTAGATGGAGTGATCAGATTTTGAACTTGGATCAATGACACTGAGAAGCAAAGTCATTAACATCCATTCTTAAACCACTGGATGTGCAAGAGACTGACACATGCAATAGCGCACACGCACACAAGAATTTGTGAATACCTAGTCAGAAGAGGACCACCATAACAAGACGTTAGTGGCTGTGTTATATTAAGATTATAACTAAAAGATTATAACCCCCTAACAGTGGTTCTGTCACCACTCTGTCCAAACAGGCACATCTGCCCTGCCCCTGACTCTCTCACCTCGGATAGTGTCTCATTTTCCATACAAACACACTGTCCCGTGCAACTAGTATATCCGTTCTGAACCCATTTTGGAGATGCCAAGTTCAGTCCCAGATTTTAGAACAACAAAATGGAGGGCCTCAGGCATAGTTCTGAATGCTTTTGGTAAGAGGAATGAATGGCTTTAATCATCACGGCAATATACAGTGCTTTAGGAATATGTACAGAGGGGGGCTGGGGAGAGAGGTTATAACTTTGAGTCCTCTTCAGCATTCTTGGCAGAGAACTTCTCTCGCAGTTTTTTCCATTTACCTTTTTTCATTTCCTCCATCTGTTTCCCGCTGTCTGCAATGGGGGAAGAAGAGGGAAGGCAGAAAAGCGGATGAGATTTCTGTTCAACAGACTCCCTTGTCTGACTTCTCCTAGCTTCAATCTAACGAGTTTGTATTTCAGTGCCTGGAGGCAAGTTTATTTTCTCAAACACAGGGGCAGTCCTTGCCATGCCCAACAACAAATAGTCAGTTTCCACACGCTGCTGTCAAAGTTAGGAACCGGAGCACAGTAAAGCTACATCTGCACCTGACAAATACATTGGCTGAGTGTATTTGTGCATAGCAGCACCCCTTTTTCTCTAAAAGGCTCCCTGCTATTAGGGAAGATGTAAAGAGCAAAATTAAACCTTTGAGAAGATAACTGAGAACTACTGAAACAAACTAGTTGAATATTAGCACTTTTAATACATATGGTGTGGCAGGCATAGAGTAAGTTTCTTCCCCGCAGCCCTGCTTCTGAACCTTAAGTATGACCTGAACAGAAACTATCAGTGCAGCAAACCCAGGTGTTGATCAACATCTGACCAACATGCTCATTTTACCTGAGTATGGAGATCCCCTGAGTTTTTCTACCATGGGCACAGTAGTAGTACTTCTCACTTAACACTACCAACCACAGGGACTCCCCAAAACTAGGTGATATAGAGAACTGAATCGTAAATGTATTTTTTTTCTTTACTGGGAAGGTATTGCTTGCAAGAAGTGCCACACCAAGAGCCCTGAGGAGTGAAATTCTGTTTATCCCTTGGACCAGGTAACAGCAGTGCAAGCTACTCCTGTAAGCCTGAGTGGGGGAAGAGTAATCACAGACTAATCAAACAGAACCTCGTTACCTGTTGCTAGGACCAGCTTGCATTCTTCCACTGTCACTCCAGTGAAGCTCGTATCTTTTAGGCGTGGATACTTCCCAAACAAAACAAAACAAGAATTTACTGACTCAACAGCACTCTTTCTCTGCTCCCTCCTCAAGCCCGTGCTTTGCTTATCCTTATCCATCTGCTAAGTCCTAAGCACAACATTCCCGTTGAAATACTAGCAGCGGAAAGAGTCACATCGCCACCTTGTGGCCTTTAGGCTCATCGCCAGCAAAGCTCAAACACAAATCAGGTTAGACATGACTGAACTTTTCGAAGGCTTGGGGGTCAGACCAGATGATCATAATGGTCCCTTCTGACCTTAAAGTCTATGAGTCTATGCTCAAAATGAGTTCAGCTTTGTTGTTCCCAGTGAAGGTGCCAGCCAGCCCCATAGACGGCTTGTTATTAATACTTCTATTATAGCAGCACTCAAAAGCCCCTATCCCATTGGTGGCCCCAGGGTGCTGTACAGACACATGGTCCCTGGCCTGAAGAGCTCACCTTGTTTTTATAGAAATTGGTGTGGATTCTGACTAAACTCTCATACATTTGGTCACAGTTTGCAGGGTCAGCAATCTGAAAAGGAACAAACATTATGAACCTCTACTTCTCACCTGCACAACAAATGCTTCTTCTTGTAAGTAACAGGCCACGTGCAAAATGAGAAGAGGACCCCTTAACAATGGAACAGAAGTGGGAGTATCCTGTACAATTGCTACAGGTTCAAGGATAAAAACTATATTCTCACTCCTCCTGCTGCCTGCCAGCTGGTCCTATACAGGCAACAAAGCGTGGAACCCTCTAGTAAAAATGATAAAACTCTGCTCATAAGGATTTGCTGGATCAAACGTGAACAAAATATTCAATGGTAAAGAAATAGAGCTGGACAGTTTTCTCCTCATGCCCATCCGCCACTACTGTAATGTACAATAAAGGCTCCTTCACTCAAATAGTCTACCAGTCAGATTTAAAAAGGTGTCTTATTAATGAGTTAGGGTAATCTGTCCATAAGAAAAATGTCATTGCTATCACATGGTAGGTACATATCTGGTGGTCATCACCTGGGTGAATGTAGGTGCTGCAAGTGGTGCCATTTTTTCTATATCACATCGTGTTTAAACATTATCCGTCATCCAACGTGAAAAAATTATAAAAATCACAAAAAGGGCCATAACTTGAAAAAGCAGAGTCTAATTTTGACCAAAATTGGCAGAAGCCTTCTAAATACAATTGATAATGCAAAATGTACTCAGAAAGAGTACTGTTATGGAATGCTTGGGAACTATTTAGCCCCAAGTGATATATTTTAGGCATTTTCCTGTCCTTTTTTGCCTTTGGTTAAAGTAAAAGTCTGTAGTCACATGCCATCTTGTCATTATTTACAGAATGGACTGATTTGCGAATAGTTTTTCGGTCTGCTATTTTTATGATGTTATGCAGATAAGACCCCTGGTGCCTAATTATAAAGCATATTTTTTGATAACTGCTTGACCAAAGTCTCAAGCACACATGGTACTTTATTCAGCTACTGCTTGGTTCCTTGGTTAGGTCAGGTCTGTGCATGCCATGAATTCAAAATAATGGTCATAAATTTATAAAGCCATCAACAAGCAGAGACATAGCTACCTCCTAGCCTGTCTGATCATCTTCGATATGTGACCAAGGCTAAGTGTTTCACCTCCGAAAACTGCTCACACAGTAGGTAATGGAAGCAGGCTTATAAATAACAGCATGCAGTTAGGTTACTGACTCACCACAGCTGATTGTCTGCTCTTGTTATTGGGCTGGGCTCAAATCACTTCTTTTGTACAAAGCTAGCAGGGAAAATCAGCAGTGTTCACATAGGCCATATCTTACCAGCCTTCCCATGATCTGACCAACACACAGGCCCAAACCCAATAAGCTGAGCATTATTAGACTTCCACAGTGCTTCTGTAAAGGGGTGCTGCTGTGAGCAAGAAAAGGAATGCCAACAGGCACAAGAAACCACAGAGGTTGCAGTAACACTTCTGTTTAAAGGTAAACTATGTTAGTAGCAGGCTTTGGGTACCATTGGTGGTGAAAATTTGGGGTCATGGTCAAGGGGTTCTTGAGATACAGCTTTCCTCTCCTCCTGGCAAAGGGCTTGTGTTTAATTTTTAAAAAGTGCTCTAAACTGCAAATGCAGAGCCAGATTGGCTTGAGAACTGGTATGCCAGACAGAGATCTAACATAATAGCTGAAGTACAATTTTGGGGTGATGGGTGATAAGAGCCTCCCCTTTCCCTCTCTACCTGATGAGGAGAAGGGCTCTGAACAGAGAGCACCCTCAGTCTTTCCTCATGAAGCTTTTCCATGTAAATTCACTATTAACTGGGCCTAACACCAACATGAGCAACCCACTCTAGCATGGTGGTTAGGGTCTGCTACTGGGATGCTAGCAAACCTAGTTCAATTCCACCCTCTATCTGATGAGGAGATGGGATCTGAACAGGGAGCTCCCTCAGTCTTGCCTATTGAGGCTGTTCCACTTTAATTAACTACTCATTGGGCCAGCTAAAAAGCTAGAATCATTCTATAGTCCCATGCTTAGGACTCTCGCCCAGAATGCAGGTGATCCTGGTTTGAGGCCTCCCTCTGCCCCTTAGAAAGGGGTTCTCCTCTCTCCCAGGTGACCGAGGTGGGGGGTCCTTGTTTAAATCCCCTCTCATTCACAGGAGCCATTGTCTTCCTGAGAAAGGAAGGGAGCTTGAATTAAGAACCGGGCAGGGTGGGGGTGGTCCCTGGGATGTGGGAGATCCAGCTTCAAGTCCCCTGGCAAAGTGGGGACTGGATCTCCCACAGCCTGGGCAGGGGTCCGGGATGAGAGTGATTCATTTCTCCCTCCCCCGGTGCCCACTTAATTAAAAAACAAAACCACCTAGGTAGCAAATCCCTTCATGGCAAGAAGAGGTGGGACTTGAACCCGGGCAGCCACCACCACCACAGCTCCATGCTATAACCACTGAACTAAGGAAGGCTTCTTATAGTTACCTCTGGCTTTGGCTTAATTAAAGTGGAACAGTTTCAAGAAGCGATGAAGAGCAAACCACACCAAACTATACCTTACTTCAGTGATTAGGGCACTCACTTGCGAAACAGCAAATCCCGGGGCTTCATGTCCTCTCTCATAAGGTAGAGGAGAAACTGAACTAGGAGGAGGAGGGCCTTGGTTATATGTTGTCATTCACCTGATACATTCATACAAGACATTCTACAGCCCTTCTAAGAGTCATTACTGTTATTTAGGTACTTCTTCATTGTACTCAGCGCTACAAAGACAACCATTACAGTTGCATCATGTGCTCTTTAGAAGACATATCTCTGGCTGAGCAGATAACATCAATAAAATATGTTTTATAATTAGAGGATAGGGGTCTTATCTGCATAACTTCATAAAAATAGACAGAAAAGCCTGCATAATAAGGAAATTGGGAGAATTAAGAAGTGATTGTTCTTTCTCCACAGCATCAGGTAATGGCTGCTGTTGGAGGCAGGAAAATGAGATAGTGAACTGTCAACACTAAGTATCACCATACTTGATCTCCAGACTAAGCACATTTTTTATCCAGACCTAAAATGACCCTGCCAGTATTTGAGTTATGACAGCTGCAGTAGCTGTGAAATGGGTAGTAGAAATAGCATTGCAAAAAAAAAAGGTGGCTGAAGGGGTGTGTGTGGGATGGATACAGGTGTAAGGGGCCTGGGGAGGATCGGGGTGAGTCGGGTGTGAGGGGCCGGGGCAGTGACTGCAGGTAGAGATGAAAGAGAAGAGGTGTTTTTTGGACTACAAGGGATGTTTATGGGGTATAGGTGTACGGGGGTGACTGGGGGTGCCAGAGGGGGGATGCTCTGACTGCAGGTAGAGATGTAAGAGAAGAGGTGGCTGAAGGGGTGTGTACGGGCAAGGCCAGCTTTAGGCCAATTCCTCCGAATCGGGCCCCGCGCCCAGTGGCAGGGCCGCTGGGGTGGGGGCAAGTGGCTGAGAATCCCTTCCCTGGCTAGAGGCTCCTTTTTAATTTTTACTCACCCGGCAACGCTCCGGGTCTTCGGCGGCACTTCAGCGGCGGGTCCTTCACTCGCTCTGGGTCTTCGGCAGCAGGTCCTTGAGTGCCACCAAAGACCCGGAGCGAGTGAAGGACAAACCGCCAAAGACTACGAGTGCGCCCGGTGAGAACAAGCCCCACATGTTTTTTTACGTGTTTTTTTTTTTTTTTTCAGTCATCCCTGCCGGGGCCCCGTCAAAACTGCTCGAATCGGGCCCCGCACTTCCTAAAGCCGGCTCGTACAGGGTACAGGTGTAAGGGGTCAGGGGGGCAGTGACTGCAGGTAGAGATGTAAGAGAAGAGGTGGCTGAAGGGGTGTGTACGGGCAAGGCCAGCTTTAGGCCAATTCCTCCGAATCGGGCCCCGCACTTCCTAAAGCCG